ATGGGCTTCTCTTGGGGAGTGGGACCTTTGGGCTGGCTTTGCCCACTGATATGTTCCATCTCCTATAACTTCGTATAATGTATGCTATACGAAGTTATTACGCGGGTGGCCGCCAGCGGGCCCCGGCCCCAGAGCCAGCGCCAGGCCGAGCCACAGCGCCCGCACAAACTCCATCGCGAAGTTGCCGGCGCCGCCGGCCGCCGGGCGGAGCCACCGGTGTCACCGCGCGGGAGGGGGACCGCGGCCGCACCCGCCGCCTCCGTGTCCCTGAGCGAAGCTCATCGCCAGGGAGGCACTTGGCGCTTTAAAAGTGAACCCCACGCCCAGCCCTGCTCCTCTCCGGGATCCCTGGCCTCCCCCACTCCTAGCCTGGGAATGTCACCCATTGCTCAGGCAGGGAAACTGAGGCCCAAGAGGGCTCAGTTTTGCCCCCCACTTCCGGGGAGCAGTCAGTCTCCACTGAGATAAAGTCACGAGCATGCTCTGACATCGCGTGCGCCCTGGGGAAACGGAGGCAGGCATGTCTGATGGGAACGATAGGGTAGATCTCCTGCCCTCCCCGAGTGGTCAGGCTACTGGGACCCTTCAGAACCCAGTGCCACTCCCCCGCTCTGAGAAACATTCCCTGCTTGCCACTGGGGAAAATGGAGAACCACCCCCTCCTTCCCTACTCAGCCCCCCCATTATTGCCATCGCACGCTGGCGTCTTTTTGTTGGTTGCCTGCTTTATCTAGTGGCCAAGTTCCCCACTCAGCACTAGGAGGGCAGGAGTGGGTCTGCCTTGGTTACTGTCTCCAGGGCTTGCACACAGTAGGCACTCTATAATTGCTCATTGCTTGGTTACTTTACCCTCCTCCGCTGCTCCAGAACCTTCTGTAGCTCCCAGCTGTTCCCCTGTGTTCTCTGGGCCTCCCCACGTCAACAGAGCTGGGGTCCTTCAGCGACCCTGGTGAATCGGGGAGTGAAGGACTTCCTCCCCAGCAGGCCCGGGCCCAGGCAGCATCCTGCGTTCAACAGAGGAACTGTTGGGCATCGCCCAAGATCTCTCAGGACAGCCGGGCACCGCTTCAGCAGGGAACATTCAGCTCTAATGAATGAATCTACACTTGCTTGATTTTTTTTTTTTTCACAAACAAAACCTTGTCTCTCTTTGGAGCCAATGCTAGAGATGGAGAAAAAAAACCTCCATTAAATGTATAAAAATGACAAACAGCAGCCAGCAAAATGGACTGGATTTTGAGACTCTCGTGAGGGCTGGGTGACCAGGAGGCCACCTTGTCCAGCCACCTGTCCAGGTATCCCAGGAGCAAGATGGAGGGGGTCCCTGAGGGTCTTAGATTCTGGGCCCGTCCGCACCAGAGGCCAGCCCATGCCTGGGAGCCCCCACCTGCCCTCAGGGGAGCCCCCCCAGGCCACCCTCCGCCCTGGTCCTGCCTGAGGTGTCGGGTTACAGCATCCTCAGCGACCACTGGGGCCGCATCTCCTCCTCGGGTTTGTTTCCCTCTGACGGAGTGAGAGAACTCAGAGATAGGGACCGGTTATGGCTTGGGGACAGCATCAGCCAGTGCCCAGTCACTCAGTCAGTCAACAAACATTGCTTGTTGTGGGGAGGCAGCCGAACCCTGGCCCTCCCAGGACTCACACTCATGCTCTGTGCCTCAGTTTCCCCACCCAAGGGCAACAGGAGGAGTGTGCGGATTGAATGCATGAATACACGGAGTGTTGTTTAAATTTTTTTTTCATTGTGACAAAATACACACAATATAAAATTCACCTCAGCCGTGTTTAGGGCACAGCTCGGTGGCTGTGCAGCCACCACCACCATCATCTCCAGAACTTTCTCGTCTTCCCAAACTGAAACTCTGTCCCCACTAAACACTCACCCCCTGTCCCCCTCCCCAGCCCCTGGCACCCCCCGTCCTACTTTGTCTCTCTGGATTGCACGACTCTAGGGACCTCCCGTGAATGGGATCACACAGTGTTTGTCCCCGTGTGACTGGCTTATGTCACTGAGCACAATGTCCTCAAGGTCCATCCACGTGGTAGCGCATCAGAGCCTGGTTCCTGTTCGTGGCTGAGTGATGTCCGAGTGTGTGGAGGGACCACGCTGTGTGTCCCTTCATCTGCTGATGGACTCTTGGGCTGTGTCCTCCCTTTGGCTATTTGGAATCGTGCCCCTGTGGACACGGGTGTCAATACCTCTTCGAGACTCTGTTTTCCACAGTGACGCCCCATTTCATGATCCCACCAGAAGTACGGGACGGTCGTGCTCTCTCCACACTGCTGTCAACGCTCGTTATTTCCCTGCTTGAATTTTCTTTGATGACAGCTGTCCTGGCCATGTGGAGTGGCACCTGGCGGTGGTGTGCCACGGTCATTCCATCAGTGCTGGCTGCTGGGGGCACTTGCTCTCATCAAAGCTCATCTTTCCCAGGCCCTGCCCTTTGGGAGGTCTGTCGAGGGACCTGCGGGTCCCAGATCGGGTGGCCGGCTTCCCCAGGGGACTGAGACAGGCCTCCTTTGTTTTGACCTTACCCAGAGTGGAAATGATGACGCGATGAAGCCAAGGAGAACTCCCATTTCTTGGTGTCCCAGACACTGAGGCCCCTGGTTTGAGAAGGAAAGACCTGGGAGGGAACGTTGAGTCACGCTGATGAGGGGTCATGCCCAAGGACGTGGCACGGGAGGCCAAAGGCAACAAAAGCCTTTTCCGGTGTGTGCACTTGCTGCTCACCTGCCCTGCCCCTGCGGCACCTGCCGCACACCCGCTAAGCTCCCGAAGGCTCCTTGCTGACTTCCCAGGGAATGTATTCTTCATGGAGCCAGGTGTGGCTTGTCTGAGGTTGGGAGGTGACTGCAGGCCTGGGTGGGGGTGGAGCCAGCCAGGCGCCAGCCCTTGCCTACTGCGGTGAACCCTAACACCAGCTGCCTTGGCCTCCTCTGTGGCCTGCAGAGGACAGAGGCCCTTTCAGTCCAGGACGGCGGGCAGCTGCAGACAGCGTGGGCACGGTGCGGAGCGGTGTGCATGCTAATGCCAGTTCTCCTTGGGCTCTCATGGGCGCCCTCCCCGGCTGGCCACACACGCACAGCTGCACTCCATAGGCCCGAGGTGGAACCTGTCAGCAGCCCCAAGGAACAGGGACCCAGACACCCCCTCACTCCCAGCCACCACCCCCTCGGCCCAGCCACAGGTGGGGTGGACAAGGATTCCAAGACCCCTAAGTCAGTGGCTGTGGGAATCTCTGGGTGACAGGGGCAGAGGGCAAGGCCCCCCAGGGGAAGAATCCAAACCCAGGGAGAGTCAACCACCACCACCAGCTTTGGTGGGCCAGTGCCTCCCAGAGAGACGCCAGCATACCCAGCCACCAGACCTCAACATGACATCTCCAAGCAGGTAAGGCCAAGCCTCAGAGGCCTGCAGAACCAGCACCTCCATCAGGGTGACCTTGTTATGGGAGTCCAGGCCCTGCTGTGAGCTCAGGCGAGCCAGTCCCCTTTCTGGTTTCTGCAGCGTGGAGCCTACCTCTCGGGATCACTCAAAGGGCGAGTGGACAGGTGAGTCCCTCCCCTGCATCCGGTGCAGGCCTGTGTGTGTGACTGGGACCCCCCCCAGCCAGTGGGAGGACACTCACCCCATGTGGGCAGGGCAGGCTCCGTCTTACCTTCCGAGTCAAGGAGGGGCCCAAGGGCCATGGGGTGGGTAACAGTGGCACCCAGCCTGCTGGACACCAGGCTGGCAAGTGGATGAGGCCCTGCTGTCCTGACGCAGTGTGGCTGGGCTGCCAGAGGGTAAGGGCAGAGCCCTGCAGCATTAGCCTAAAAGAATGAGCTCAGTGCTGGCAGCTGGCACCCACTAAATCATGTGGATTTTCTAGATCATTAAGTAGGCCTGTCAGTCAGGGGCAACTTTCTGGAAGGTTCTGCAGCCATTCTGGCTGAGCTCCAGGCACTGGCAGCATCCCCAGGGCAGTGGGGGACGCCTGGCCTCCCTCAGGCCCTCAATGTGGACAAGCACGTTGTGTTTATGTGGCTGGAGTGCATGACCATCTTGGGGACCCCAGCCCTGAATCAGATGCCACCCCCACAGCCGGCTGTCCCAACCTGGGCTGCGTGGGATGTTTCTGTGGCTGCCAGATGGACAGGACTGGCAAGACCCACTGTCCTCCCTGACATCATCCTGTGGCTGAGACTGTCCCTGCCCCCTACCCCATCCTGACAGGCTCCATCCCGGCCGCCACTTTTACCAGGTGGGGTGACAGACGCCCTGACCCTGAGAACAGCTCCGGGGGCCCTTGGGGTTACTCCAGGCTGCCCCTCCTCCTCCTCTATCAGGAGGACAAGGTGCCCGTGACCCTCCCCCAGGAGCTGGATGCTGTGCCCCGGGGCACCCCTCAGCCCTGGTAGCTTGGTTCCATATCCCACTCTGGCTCTGACAGCGCCCCCTGAGACCAAGTCACCACCACCCTGACTGGGACCCCATGGGGCTCAAACCCACCTCCTTGTCTCCACTGTGAAACCCCCCATCACAGAATCAGAGCAGTCTTAAAAAGTTAGCAGGGGCAGAGCCCAGGGCTAAAGAAACACCCAGTCACCCAGCACCAGCCACAAGAGCTTTGTCCCCACAAGTGAGGTTGTGCAGAGGAACTGGGACAACAGACCAAGGTCTGAGAACCACAGTTTCTCTGGACATCAGCTCCTAAAGTCTGCCTCTTGGATGGCTGCGTGGGTCAAGGAAGGCCCCGGCCACTGCCCTGAGGTCCTGAGAGCCTCGGCCACGCAGGAGCACAGAGTGAGGCTGAGAAGGAGCTTTCAGATCTCTTTTGTTACAAATGGAACAGCACCAATGTGACATAACAAGACACAAGACACAGGTGGATCAATGCTGAGACACAGTGACCCAATCGTGGCGGTAAAAAAAACCCAAACTAAATACGAGATGGAGAGGACAGCTCCGGCCCGGGCGTCCTGGCGGGCACGCCCTCTGGCTGCGGTCACTGAGCTTGGCGCTGAGGCCGGGTTGGCAGCCTGGGCCCAGGAAACTCCCAGGAGCCCGGGGTCACCTTCTGGCGGGGTGGAGGTCTCAGTCCTGGGGCCGCCCCTCCTCACTTGGCCCGACGGGTGATGATGCGCGTGGAGAAGTCGAAGAGGTCGCGGTTGATCTTGCGCAGGTTCTGCACCTCATCCTCCAGCTCGGTCACGCGGATCCGCAGCTGGTCCTGGCCGCCCAGAACGCTCTGGGGGCAGGGCAGGGGGTCAGAAGATGGAGGCGACCTCGGACATCCCCTCGCCCCAGCAGCAAGGACAAGGGTCACTCAACCCCGCTGTCCGGGATAGGGGGCAGGAACAGGGGCAGGGGTGTTCCTCCTCTTCCCGCCAAAGCGGCGCCCTGTCCCCTTCCTGGAGCTGCCCCGCCCCTCCCGTGGCCCCGCCCACCTTCTCCATGGTGTTGCACATGGCTGCATAGAGCTGTCCCATCCGGTCCAGGAAGCTGGGCTCCGTGCCCTACAACACAAGGGCCCACGTCCTCTGACTCTCACACCAAGCGCTCCAGCCACATCGGCCCAATCAGGGTTGGCCACTACCAGGCTGTGGAGGAGTCACCCGTCGCCCACTGAGATGCGAAAACTGAGGCTCAGAGGAGGGGCTGGCAGCCTGTTTGGAGGCAGCAGCATCAACCCTGACTACGGCTGGAAGCAATACACTCCCATTTCTTCACACCTGTTTGCTGCTCCAGGTCTCTGCATCCAAGAAACCCCCCCGGGCTGGGAACAGAGACAGCGTGATGTGGTACTGACCCAGGCTGGGAGGGGCTGTGACAGGCAAGGTCAGGAAGGCTCTGGACAGAGGGCTGGACGAGGGCCTGGACAGCGGGTGCCTCCAGCCCATGAGGAGAGCCTGGCCAGCCCAGGCCACTAGCCCAGAAAGATGGATGGATGTCTCCTGGACACTGGCTGGACACATGCCCGCCCATCCATCCAGCCTGGGCACTGCCGCTCCTGTCTGCAGGAAGGGGTCAGATACCCCACAGGGACCTCGGGTGATTCCACAGCAGTGGACAGAGCCAGGTCTGGACACAGCCAGGCCCCACCATGGCCAGTCAGGCACTGAGGGTCAGGCAGGGACAGGGCACAGGAGTCGGAGAGGCGGTGGCATTGCTGGGGGGTCCTGGCCTGGGACCCCACCCCTCAGAAATCCTGCTGTGGACAACTGGGTTGGGGTTTGAGGGGCATGAACAGCACCTGGGGAGCCTTGGGGAACTACTTGCTGCTTGGCTGTTAGATGTGGCAGCGGGGACATGCCCAGCTGCTTGCAGAACCCCGTTTTCAGTCGGGAAGGCTCCTGCACCTTCTGAACTCAGCTGTGCCCCGCCCCTGCTGCCAGTGGCCAGTCCACCTTGTGCTTGATGCCCCAACAGTGTGTGCCTGCAGAGAGGGAGCTTCCATGCCGGCCAGCCCTGCCCACCCCCACCGATTTGTCTTGAGGAAGACACAGAGTGACACTGCTGTCTCCCCGACAGCCCCGTCCCATGGGGTAGCCTGCCGAACAGGCGCCCTTCAGATAAGAAATCAGTCTGTACTTCAGGTGGGAAAGGCCAGATGGGGAGCACTGCCAAGCCCGCCCAGTGCGGGCGACAGAGACAGACAGTGACGCCAGACACCAAGGACGCCCAGCTCCTCGGAAGGTCGCAGCAGGAGAGAGGCAGCGGGGAAGCTTCCCCTGCCCCGGGGGCCCTGTATGCTCATAGCCTCAGCCCTCACCCGGGGCCCAGCCCCAGGAATCACAGCAGTTCCGTCCCCACAGATGGTGCAGGGGCCCTGCTGGAGGGCAGGCGACAGAGTGTGCGGGGTCTGTAGGGGGCGAGGGAAAGGTCAGCAAGAGGAGGGGACGTGGCCCCCAAACCCTTCTGGAACTATCTGGAGCCAGGTGGGCATCCCCAACCCCCACTGCTCACCACCACCCTGGCTGCTTCTGCACTCTGAGCTAGGTATAGACAGGAACCTTTTGGCCCTCGCCCAAAACACAAACCACTTGGCCCTTTGTGAAGCTGGCTGACCCATCTGGAACCACCTGACAGGAAGGCAGATGTGGGAGGGACAGGGCGTGGCCCTTACTGGCTGGAGGATGTAAGCCACTGAGGATGTGCAGACAGCCCATGGGCCTTTGCCATCCTGCGTGCAGAAGGTGCCCACCAGTGCCGAGTGGAGCCTGGTGCACAGGTGCCTGGATCCGCAGGGGCACAGAGAGCCGAGGAGGGTCCTACCTGAGGCCCTAGGGCCAGTGTTTGGGACGCACATACCTGCTGGTGGAGGCCCAGGCGCACTACGAGGCCCCCGTGGCGTGGCTCGTCCCCGTGCTCGGCGCCCAGCAGGTGCTTGTTGAAGTGCGGCAGCGGCAGGCTGGGCCTGAAGTCAGAGCTGAGCATGCTGACCGGGGCCAGCACGATGCAGGCGTTGGTCACGGGGCCTGTGGGGCAGGTGCGGTCAGTGCGTTTCTCCAACCCCATGGCTCAGAGCCCTCTCCCACCTGCCCCTGCCCCCCAGGGTGAGGCTTCCATCACCCGAGGCAGCCCCCTGGCTGGGTGCCCACACCGGGCCCACCTTTGAGGGTCACCGTGCGAATGCACTGCTTGCTGTGAACGTCCCAGAGGCGCACAGTCTCGTCGTGGGAGCCTGAGAGCAACACGCTGCCGTCTGTGGACACCGAAAGGCAGGTCACCTGGTTCCTGGCACAGATGGACAACAGGTGCTGGGTCAGGCCACTCAGGTGTGAGAAAGGGCAATGCAGATGACTGCACCCCTGCCCCCTGCGTCCACACCTGTGACCTTTGAAGACCTTCCCGGCGTCCTGCTCTGGCTGGAAAGTCCTCTCCCTCTGGCCAGGCTATGGGGGCCAAGAGGGGACATGAGCTGCAGGGACGCAGGCGCCCTCAGCCCTGGGGCCTGGCCCTCCCGCGGCTGCCCCAGCCACTTACCCAGGTGCAGAGGTCCACCTGGAAGACAGAGCCATCGCTGCCACCGCAGAACATGTGGTACTCAGCCAAGTCCATGGTCACGGCCATGATGCTCACGTCAAACAGGACTGAGAGCAGGAGCTCGCCCGAGGAGATGGCCCACAGCTGGGGGCAGAAGGGTGGGGTCGGGGCACCAAGAAGGTCTGGGGTTGGGGGCCCCTGGTGAGAAGTGACACCCCTGGGGGGTCTCAGGGGTCAGGAGACTCAGCCTTTCCTAAAATGAAGCTCAGTTCTCATGCTACTGACCTGGGTCTCCCTCCCCAGTCCCTGGCCAAAGACTCAAGGGCAGCGGTGGCCTTGGATCTCCCCAGGTTGGCCGGGAGCTGGGCCCGGCACAGGGCTGAGCGGGAGTTTCTGAGCCTACAGAGGTCTGAACGTCCACCCTCCCTGGACGTTCTTGGGGATCGCAGCATCAGGGGATCATAAGCCGTCTGGAGCCCTGATGGCCGGGGGAGGCGGCAGTTCATTCGCTCACAGATGCGGTGGGGGTGGGGCTCTACCTTCACCGTCTGGTCCAGCGAGGCGGTGGCCACCCGGGCCAGGGGTCCCCCAGAGCCACAGTGAAGGTCTGTGATGGGCAGTGTGTGGCGGGACCAGACGTGGCGGGGGGCTGGGATCCGGGAGGGGTCCACCTGCAGCACACTGTGGGGCAGGAGTGGATGCTCCAATCCTCCCATGCCCCTGGACAATCGCTCTTGCCCTCAGCCTCTCAGACACCCCCTCCTGCCCCAGGTTCTCAGTGCATCCTTCCCGCAGCCACTGCCCCTCCCCATGTGACCCGGGGGCCAGGCAGGAGGCAGCACCTGCACAGGCTCCAGGCCAGCACCAGGCAGTCCTTGCCCCCTGAGAGGAAGTGGCTGCTGTCCCCCGTGAACTGCAGGCACGAAACGTCTTGGTAGTGACGGCTCAGGATGACCAGGAGGTTCCCGGTGGAGACCTGGGAGGGGGTGGGGGGCATCTCAGTCAGGAGAGGAAACGGGGGCAGCAGCTCCTGGGACCCCCGCCCGCCTTGGCCCCAGGACTGTGGGTCGACGGTACCAGGGTGAGGCTGGTGGTTTTTGTGGCCCGAGGGACAGTGAGGCCTCACTGTGCCCGCCTGGGTTGGCAGGTGGCCATACCCCAGTGGTCCTGCCTGCGTCTGTGTTGCCACCTTGTCTGTCGTCATGTTGTGGCCTGAATTGTGTACCTCCCCCAAAAACACTCAGGTCCTGACCCTGGGGACCTGTGAGTGGGACCTCATTTGGAAATACAGTGTGCAGACACAATCAATTCAGATGAGGTCGTCCTGGACTAGGGTACACCCTAAATCTAACATGACTGGTGTCCTTACAAGGAGTGGGAAATATGGACACAGACACAAACACACTGACATATGACGATGAAGGCATAGATCGGGGTGATGTGTCTACAAGCTGAGGAACCCCAGAGACCACCAACCACCGCCACAAGTGGGAAGGGGCAGGGAGGAGCCTCCCGGGGAGCCCCACTTGAAATGTGAACTTCTGGCCTCCGGGCTGAGGGAGTGGAAGTCTGTCTGTGGCCTTTGCTGGGGTGGCCAGAGAAGACTCACACAGGTACCTCCTGAGCCCTTGGAACCTGGCAAGCCACGCCCCTCCCTGGGCCTCAGTTTCCTCAACTGGAAAAGGGGGCTAACCCAGGGCAATGGAGGATGAAATGGCCTGGTCTGTACCACCCAGCTCAGCCCCAAACCACAAAGAGAGCAGCTCACACAACTACTGTTGTGGAGGGGTTTGGGGCCAGGGACAGGCAGGGGGCCCATCACACCTCCTGGCAGGTCCTTGGCACGGGACCTGAACCTGAGGAAGAGACCAGAGCAGCTCTGAGCCGCAGCAGACGAGCCATTGACCCCACAGTCCTCTCCTCACACTGTCTTTACCACATAGAGAAAAGGGGCCTGGGCTCCAGCCTCTGGATCACCATGTGGGGCACCCCCTGTGGTCACGGCTCTGGAGGAACAAAAATTCCCTGTGAGGGTGGGGGAGGCAGGCCAGGCCACAGCCCCTCCTGTCTCCTCCTGCCGCAGACCAGACCGCCTTCAACCAGAACAAGAGTGAGCCTTTCAGTTTCTTTTCTTTTCTTTTTTTTTTTCCTTTTTTGTCTTTTTTCGTGACCGGCAACGGATCGCAACCCTCGGTGTTGCGCCCGCACCTCGCTCAGCCAATGAGCGGCCGGTCTGTATGTGGGATCCGAACCCTTGCCGGGAGCGCCGGCGCGCTCCCAAGCAGCGCACTGTAGCAGTGCGCCACCGGGCCGGCCCAGCCTTTCAGTTTCTACACGGTCCCCCGCAGCACAGACAGGGACTAGGTGCCCCTCCCTGCCTTG